CTTCAGGGATGCTATGCCCACACCCCAGGTGAGGACCAAGGATGTGCTCTTTGAGAGCATCAGTCACCTCATCAGCCACCACCGGCAGAACGAGCAGCCCATCGTGGCCGCCGAGAGTGAGCTGCACCTCCGCCAGGTTGTCCAGAGGAAGCAGTGATGCCAGGGGGTACGTGAGCCCCCACCCCGCTCCCCTGGCACCGATCTTGCCCCAGCCTTAGGCAAAGCCAGGGCTCCTCTGCACTCCCCTCCTCTGTTAGTGCCTGTCTTTGGAGACAGTCAAAGGCCCTCAGGGTCAGCATCCCTGTCCCGAACCCCAGCAGGGCCACCTGGTCCCCATCCCTAAGGGGCTGCGCTGTCCCTCTGTTGTCCTCCCACCCACACTGCCTTCTCTCCATTGTCCACGTGGGACCCTTTGCCCAGAAGGACACACAGATGTTTATTCCATGTGCATTGGCAAAATGCTGCCTGGGATGAGGGATATCTGGAGACAACGTAGGAATATGCTGGGGTTGAAGCATCCTGTGCTGCCGACGGGGCTGCCCTGTGCCCTCTGCCCTGGACATTGCTGTTCCCATACCCAGTGCTGCTGCTGCATCCCAGCACAAGAGACATGGAGCCAAGGGGAGGGGGCAGTGGCAGGAGCATCATCCCAGGGCTCATGGGGTGGGATAGGTCGAGCAGTGTACATGTGCACACGTGTGCGTGCATGTGCAGGTATGTGAGGGGCTGCTGGGATTCCAGCCCCCACCCACTGAGCTGTGCCTCTCAGCCAGCACTACTGCTCAGGACCCAATTCTTGCCTCAGCCCCTGCTCTCTACAAGGACATTGGGGGCCCTCCCATCTATGGGGACTGCATCTCTGCTGGGGCTTTGCCTGGCAGGGCTGGGCACAAGCATCTCTCAGAGCTGGTGCTGCTGGGTTTTCCCATTGGTTCCAGATTTCCAGCTGTCTTCTCTCCATGAGCTCACATTGCCCCTGGAGCCCCGCGTGGCCCTGAAGAGGGGGCCAGAATGGAGTCTCCATGGGGATGGCACAGGGCAGCAGTGAGCCTGCAAGGCTGGGGCTGGCAGGGGGAAAGGTATCCCCAGCCCTGAGCCCCTACCTGGCTGGAGCATTGGAAGGTTTTTATGACATTCACCATCCCGTCTCTCGTCGCTCGGCACGGGTTCATTGTTTCGATTACATTTCTAATTAAACCTGGAAATGAGTAAGTTCCTTGCTGTTCATGCTGCCCCAGGCACGGTGCTTGCAGGGCAGAGGGCTGGAGGCTGCCAGCTTCTGTGCTCAGCAGCGCCAGCACGGAGCAAGGGATGAAGATGGGGACACAGAGGGTGCCAGGTCAACTTCTGCATCACCATCAGCTCCTGGCTGGTCCCATGTTTGTGGCTGCACCCTGCAATCATGCATCTCCTGCAGGCACACATCACCCCTGAGCTCCAGCATCTCCTCCTGGGGCCAGGCTGGCTGGATGCTGTCAAGGTGTCTGCTGCAGCCTTGTCTCACGCTACGGCCAGGCTGGCATCAGAGCAGAGCTGTCGTTCATCACCTGCTAATGACCACTGACAAGTGGCTGGGAGCGGGAGCTGAGCCCGTGCCTCACTGTAGCTCCTGGCTGTGCTGCGTGGCCAGGTGATAAAAAGGCATTTGCTGGAATTGCTATAGGCAGGAAAATCCCTGCCTGAGCCCAGAAGCTGCCAGATCCTGAGCACGTAAGGCTGTCAGAGCTAGCAGCAGGGCCAGGCTGCCAGGGGGTCTGTTCCCCATGGCAGTGAGTGCTCAGCCCCAGCGGGCTCTGGTGCAAAGCATGGGCTGCCTATGGTGCAGTAGCAGCGAGCTCCAGGCAGGCTTTGAGATCACTTCCAGCACTGACACCTGGGGGGTCCCCATTAGGCACCTTTTGCTTGCTGTGCCAATGCTGGGCCTGGAGGAATAGGATCATTGGTGTGGTCCCTCTGGGAAGGGTCAGCACTCCGTAGGGCAAGGCTTGTGTGGATGACTCAATGAATATCATCATTGCCAAATAAAGCCCAGTAATGAATGTGTAATTTTCCATTGATAGTCAAATACCTACAGGGATGTAGCTCTTCTATCTCAGCTGCTATTTTTTGTCATGTAGTAATGTGTCTGCAAAGATAATTGCACCATTCCCTCAATAGCAGAGGCAGGAAAAGGCAGAGAGAGCCCCTGCTTTCTTCGCTGTTGGAGAACCAGCCTGTGCCTCACACCAGCTGCTGCCTGAGATGCTGCGAGCCTGGTGGGGCTGGCACGTCATGTTTGAGGGGGTTTAAGCTCTTTGCTTCTCGTGTCCATGCTGATTGCTGCACCAGAAGCAGAGCACCCCCCTCCTCCCCCCTCACCCCAAGCCTTCCCAGCCCCAGCATGCAGTCAGGGCTTTGTGGTGTGGGGAGATGAGCTGAGAGCTGCGCAGCTCTTGAAAACAGAAAACAATTAAATCTGAGCCCTTTACCGAGTTAACTACGGACATGAATAATGCAATCAGAGCGTCAGTTCCCCAGGAGTGCTCGGATCCGAAATTGAATTTCTGCCGGGCGGTGGGGAAGGAAGGTTCGCTGCCGTGCGCTTCTGCTCCGGTGTGAGGGAAGAGGGGGGGAAGGTGGGTTCTGCTTCCCATCCTCCAGCAGGTGGTAGCACGCTGCCGGCTCCGCATCCCCAGCTCTGCCATGTCCCAACCCTGCGGCCGTCCCCAGCTCCTCCGTGGCCCCAGCCAAAGCTGCCGCGTTGCGCCCATGCATTGCCAGATGCTGCGCCCTCCAGCCTGGCACTAAAACCGACCCTTATTCATCTCTATGTCACCTGTATCACGCTGCCTGGGAAAGGCACGGAGCCCTGAGAGCTGTTATCCCAACCCCACGATGATGCAGGGGGAAGACAGGAAGGGCAAAGCGTCTCTTCCAGCTCTGCAGCGCTGTGTGACGGTCTGCAGCCCGTTTTGGAAACACTGGAAACCTCTTTTTCTCCCAACCCTGCAAGCATTCGTTCCCTGCCCGTCTCTATCTGTGGTCTGGCACCTCCCTCTGCATGCAGTGTCTGTGGCAACGCAGCGCTGGGGGTGAGAGCTGGTCCTGAGCCCAGCAGAGCTGGCTGGCAGTGAGGGCAGCCCGGGCACTGCTTGCATCCCCGATGCGTGACCCTGCACCGAGATCCCAGCTGCTTTCCCTTTGCTGCAAACCGGGAGATCCGTGAGCTCTCTGTGGTTTTGCCCATCGCTGCAGCCCCGCTTTTACCCCAGCACGGCAGAACTGCTCCCCTTTTTTCTTTTTTTTTTTTTGCTGCAGGGACTGCTGGTCCCAAGCGGAGCATGCAGGCAGGGCTGGCCCCGCTCCAGCTTTCTTTGTTATCTCCGGGGAACTCAACCATTTCTGTGCCTTGTTTACCTCCCGTTGCACATGGGTGGAGGAAAGGTAAACAGCAGCCTTTTGTTCACCAGCTCTTTTTCCTTGAGCTTCTTCCTCTTCTCCCTGTCTCCCTCCACTTTCTCGCCCCCCATGCCCCCCAACCCCGGGTGGAACCAGCACTGCAGTGCTGAGCCCCAAGAACATCCACAGTGCTGCCATTCCCCCTCCCCAATGCTGCCTCAGCCCAGACCCCTCCCTTGGAGGACCCTTCATGCTCCATTTGCTGGGCCCAGTTGCTTCTCCCAGATCTGTCCCTGCAGTGGGCAATGGACTGCTGTTCTGAGCAACCAATTCCCAGGTGAAAACCTGCAGTTTGTCAGAGCTCCCCACCGGGCAAGAGTGAAAATCAAAGCGTCTGCCCTGCCAGGGAGCACTCACATGGCAGAGGGGCACATCGGGGAAGCCAGGCCGTGTAGAGAAAGTGCAGGGCAAAAAGCTTTCTGAGAGGGAACTGTTGCCCTCCCAGATCCTGAGCACCTTCTCCCTCACTACGTTTACCAGAGCTGCATGCTGGCCCTTGGTCTGTCCTTCTCTTTTATCAGCTCACAGTGTGGATGCAGAGGGAGCTGAGAACTCCCACCCTTTTCATGGTGCTTGGCTGCCACGATCCTCATGCAGTGAGCTCACCAAGCCAGGCTTTCACTTCTGATGATTATACCCAGCCCTGTGCTGCTGCTGTGGGCTGTTTACAGGGGAGAATGGAGCCCTCCTTCCTCCTAGCAGCATCCCTGAGGCAGAAGAAACCACTGCTGGCCCCAACCGTGCCCCGTCCTGCTTGGAGTAGCTCTGTCCCCAAGGCTGTCAGCCGATGTGGCACCTGTCTGGAGCTCATCCTCCTGCTCTGAAGATCTCCTGCCCTCCCCCTACGGGCTGCAGCGATGCTCGCTGGGTTCTGCTGATGATTTTGCCCTTGTTGTCCCCAGCACCACCTGGGCCATATCCTACCCAGGCGTTAGAGAAACGTGTGACAAGTGGCATTGCCTTCCTCCACTCCTTCCAGCCACGATATTAAACCACTTAATGCACTCAGCGAGTCCTTGAGCTCTGAGCCGCCTTGGAGTGCTGTTGGCTTTGTTCAAAGCTTTGATGAGCTCGAGAGCTCGGAGGGGGGGAAAGCACCGGGCTGACAGCGGGCTCCACTCCGTGCTCTTGCGGTTCTCCGGGAGGGAGGGAACCGGGGGCACCACGGGGCTGCCGTGTCCGGTCCCACTCCACTCACGGTCCCACTTATGGCTACACGGCAGAGTGTCCCGGGACCGGGGGGCATCACGTCCCGGGTCATAAGGGGCAGAGTTAGGTTCCGACCCGATTCGTCCCGGTGCTCAAGGCTTCCCCGCGGCTCCCGGCAGCATCACTCGGGGTGCCCGGTGCGGTGCTGGAAATGTAGGGGCGCAGCGCTCGGAGGATTACGGCGGCGGCGCGGCGGGGAGCGGCGGGGCCGTATAAAAGCGCGTCCGCTCCCGCCCGGGTCTGCGGCGGCGGCTCCGGTCCAGGTGCGGCAGCGGCTCCAGCAGCGGAAACGGCAGCTGCCCGGTGGGCGGCCCGGCCCGGCTCGGCACAGCTCTCCGTGCGTCACGGCCGCCCCGTCCCATCGCTTCCAGCTCTCGGGTCCGGTAGCTCCGCCGTGCGCCGCGGGGTCCCGGGGCGGCGGGTTCCGGTGACCGTCGGTGCAGGCTGTTCCTTCCCGATCCCCGTCTCGAGGCTGGCGTGTTTCGGTCGCGACGTCCCGCGGCTCGGTCCCATCCTTCCCCGTCCGTTATCCCCGGCGCCGGAGGGTCCCGGTGCCCCGCAGCTCGGTCGAGTCCTTCCTCCCCTCCCCTTGGTGTCGTTCTCCCTCGGCGCGCCCCTTCCCTTCCGCATCCCCGTTCCCGTCACCCGCGATGCTTGCGGCTCCCGGTTCCCGGTGACAGCGTTTCCGATCGTTATCTCTTCCAGCCCTGCACCTGGCAGCAACATGTGGCTCCTGGAGCGGCTGCGCGGCATGGCGGAGAGCAGCAGCGCACGGGGCTCGGGGCCGGACGATTCCCCGCGGGGCTCCCGCTATAGCAACGTCCTCACCCCAGATAAGATCCCCGACTTCTTCATCCCGCCCAAGCTGAGCGCTGCACCCGCTGAACCCGAGGGTACCGAAACCACCGCGCCTCCCGTCCTGGGTCCGTCTGTCTCGGAGCAGGACCTGACGGACCGCAAGACCCCACGCAGCCCCCGGCCTCCCAGCCGACCCCGTGCGAAGGCATCCGGCCGTCACATCATCCAGATCGAGAGCGCCGAGGACTGGACAGCCGAAGGCGGCTTCGGCACCAACGTGGACCCGCAGGCGCAGACAGCCATGTCTCTGCCCTATGTCCCCAAAGCGCAGACCTCCTACGGTTTCGCCACGCTGGTGGAGAGTCCCCACACCCGACGTAAGGAATCGCTCTTCCATAGCGAACACAGCAGCCTCTGCCCCTCGCCGGCCACCTCGCCCAGTGGCCAGCGCAGGGCAAAGCTCAACGGTGAGAGCAGAGCTCAGGCTCCTTCCGACCTGGGGGCGGCCCTCATGCACCCCGGGCGCTATTTCAGCGGCGGTGAAAGCGACACGTGCTCTTCAGCCGAGTCCTCACCCTTCGGCTCACCCCTCCTCTCCCGCTCCGTCTCTCTGCTGAAGATCTTCAGCCAGGAGAGCCAATCCAAGGTCATCAAGCTGAAGCACTCGGTGGCTCGCAACAGCTCGCTTTCAACCGATGACAGCTCAGCCGACACCAGTCCCAGCGCCCAGCGTCGCTCCAGGAGCGCTCCGGCCGGGGGACAACCGACAGCGGGCGCGGAGCTGCCGCAGGGTCGGCCCCGTGAGCACAGCCTGCGGCTCAGCCGGGGCGGCCGCCTCCGTCTGACTGCTGATTATGACCCTTCCAACGCCCGGCTTCGCGTTCAGCTCATCTGCGCTGAGGATCTCTACGACGCTCTGGTCGATGTGCGTGGCATCCACTGCTGCGTTTCTCTGTGCCTCAACCCGGGGAAGCTACAGAAGCAGCGCAGCACCATCATCAAGAACAGCCGCAACCCTGTCTTCAATGAGGACTTCTTCTTCGATGGGCTGGGCCCCAGCCACGTCAGGAAGCTGTCCCTCAAGCTGAAGGTGGTCAACAAAGGCAGCAGCCTGAAGCGGGACACGCTGCTGGGGGAGAAGGAGCTCCCGCTCAGCGCCCTGCTGTAGGCTCAGCAGCCCTGCAGGGAGCGTGCCCGTGGGGCTGGGGCACGGGAGGGCTTGGGCCAGCCCTGACGCCTCTGAACTAGGGCTTGGAAGGGCCCCCAGAGGAGGGCCAGGGCTGTGGCAGAGCTCAGGGATGCAGGGCCGGGTCCCCGGGAGCGGAGCTGCCAGATGCAGCCCTCCTGTTCCAGCCTCTCCCTTCTGTTCCAGCTCCCTGGCCGGGGCTGCGGCTCCTGGAGCACAGCAGGAGCCACCTGCCCTGTCCCTTTCAGATGGATGGATGTCACCTGCTGGGCTCTTCCCTTTCTGGTTTCCCGTGGCCTCCAGCTGGCCAGCACGAAGGTTGGAAGTGGGTAGAGCTCTGCAGCATGCTTATTGCCACCTCTCTCCAAGCCTTAGCTCCTGGAGTCAGATGATGGCATCGACCTTGGCTTTCATTTAAAAGTCAAGCTTTGTAGTCTTGGAAACTGCAGAGAAAATGCTGCAGAGGTGACCCAGGAACCTGGTCGGGGTCCCTGGGAGGTGGCCTCGTGGCTGACTCACCTCTGTGGTCTTTCTGAGTCCCTTCCTGGAACCACATAGAGTGTGCAGTCAGCTCTACCCTCCTGTCCTGGTCCCCCAGATACTGACCCCTCTCCCCCATGAATAACAGCTGCAGGAACTTCAGAGGCATTTGGATTTATCCAAACCCAGATGGATGCTGATAGGGGCTGGCACTGCTGCTGGGGGGGGGGGGCGGGGGGGGGGGCCCATGGCCATGGGGGTGAGCATGCATGCTGGGGTAACATCCCAGCAGACCCCAAGCAACAGGAGCAGCACCTGCTGCCTTCCCAAGTGCTCGTGGCTGTGTGCCTGCATGGCACTGGGGATGGGTGGCACCAGAGCAGGTGGCAAGCTGGGATCTGGGTTGCCCCCCCTAATTCTGCCCTCTCTGAGCACTCACAGGTGAGGAGCTTGAAAGCTTCTGCACCCCCCCCCCCCCGGGGTGGGGCGCCCCCCTTCCCCCGCCCCTGGGGGGGGTGGGCTTGCACCTCCCCCCCCCCCCCCCCCCCCCTCCCACCCACCCACAGGGAGATGCATGGCCCTGGGGTCACAAAGCCCCCACACCTGGTGGGACCCAGTCCCCAAACAGGGCTGTGTTGGCACGTTGAATCCCAGCACTGCCCAGAGACACCAGAATGGGGGAAATCCAGGCTGGGGTATCTGCAGGTGGCTGAAACAGCCGCTTTGTTGTTGTTTGGTGTGGTGTTACCTGCATGTTTTTGTGAAAAGGAGCAGAAATAGCACTGCTCCTCTCTGCTCCCTTCCAACACGTGTGGACACACGCACATGTGTCCCTCTGTGTCAACCTCTGTTGGTGGCGGTTGATGTTCCTTCCTTGTCCTTTGCAGCAGATGGCAGATTTCAGTGTTGGCTATTTATATCCGAGGCTGATCTTTCCCAGCGTGTTTTACTTCTGTCTGTAAATATGTTTCAGGTATACGAGGCATGGTTCTGGTGCTGTTTGCATGTCGGGGAGGGGGGTGGGGGGGGTGGGTTGGGATGATCGTGGCTGTTTGTTGAGCTTGTGGTTGAAAACAAACCGTGCAGGACGTGAGGAACAGACACATCCCTTTGCCACAGGGGATTTCCCACCTGCTGCTCCCCATTGCTCTCCCCAGGAACAACCAAGGGCTGCCCATCCCTGTTCTTCCTCCATCCCCTGACATGGAGGTTTTGGGGGGGTGGGGGTTCAGCACCAAGCAGAGCTTGGGGACACCCAGCTGGTGGCCAGGAGATGGAGGAGGACCAGTGCAAAGGTTTCAGTGCTCACGAAGGGCTGGGGATGCCACAGCCCCTCCACGGTAGGGCTGTGCTGTGTTGTCTTTGTGTTTCGGGGGTGGGTTGGGAGGCTGAGAGCAGAGCTGGGGGGCTCTTTGGCTGCTCTTTGGCTCCGTGGGGGGAATTGAGGGCTAGGAGTTTATGCCATCACCTCCCTCACCTGTCCCAGGTCTGCTGAGCTCTGGGATTTGCTGCTGTGATGGATGGGAGGGTGGATGCGGAGTCCTGGAGGGATCCTTCCTCCCTGTAGCCCTTTTCTAACGTTCCTGCTTTATGATAGTTCTGTGGCTGGATTTAACAACGCGTTTTCGTTTTGGAGTTAATATATACATATATATATTCATTAATGGAATGTTTGTTTACAGATGACTTCCCCTTTTTAGTGCAATAAAGTCTTTCTAAAACAGATGCAAATGGTACCCAGCTCCTGATGCTCCCTTGCTTTCTATTATCCCACGTGCTGCTGACCCCCTGTGATGGCAAGCAGTGGGGACAGCCTTTCCCCCCCCATTCCCCCCCAGCTGGTCCAGGCCAGCAGCTTATTCTGCTTTCTTCTTTTCTTTCCCCTGCTTTCCATCTCTCAACCCACTTCTAACAAGCAGCTGCTGAAGCAAAGAGGGAGGTTTGCCTGCAGCCTAAATGCCATTTTTCTAATTTCCACCATAGTAATAATTTGTCATTTTTAGTAGAAATAAAGAATAGGAACGTTAAACAGATCCGCCCTCCTTCCTCCCGGCCCCACAGGGCACAGAAAGCAGCGTGGTGAAAACTTGGCAGGTGCCAGGAAATTAAAATAGGGTTTTTTTTTTTTCCCTTTTAGAGGTGTAAAAGCCACAGCAGTTAGCAATAAAATGAGCCTGATTGAGTTCGTTTGAAATGGAGCGGATGGGGGTCAGCCTGAAAACACTAAAAATCCTTCAAGTGCTCAATATGCAAAGCATGGGAAACAGTCGGAGGGGCGGCTGGTGGGAGAAGATTTAGCTCTGAATTCCTAATTGAGTTGTTAGAGGAGAGATGTGCAGCTTCCAGAGCCTGGGGTTAAACCCTGAGCTGAGGCTGGGCTGCAATGAGCCTCTGCACTGCAGGCTGTGGGCTGGCCAGGGTGGGGGTCCAAGCAGGACCCAGTGATTACCTGGGGGTAATTGGGGTCCTGGTGGTTACCTCCCCCTGCAGATAGTTGGGTGCAGTTGGGGTTAGCCTCACAACACCCCCTGCTCTGACAAAGCTGCTGATTTACCGTTTGGGTTTTGTTTTTTTTTTTAATAAAAAAAAAGCTTCTTTCTGTTGCTTGGCAACATCTTGGCTGCCTGGTCCGGTTGCGGGGGCTGCAGGGCTCTGTGGGGCTGCCCCAGCTGCAGTCTGATCCCGAGCATCACTCCCAGGCTCTGAGCAGCCGGTGTGGGAGCAGTGCTGTGTTGGTGGGTGCAGGGCACAATGCACCCACCTTGCAGCTGTGTGTGAGTATCGGCCTCCCTCCGGCTTGCACACAGCTCCTCATCTTTATTGCAAGCATTTGTCTTCCGTGGCAGCATGTCTGTTTGAAAGCAGGGAGAGAGACTCCCACTGTTAACGGGAGGAAAACGGGAGTTAATTGAATCCCACAGTTCCTCATAGTCACATCAGGTGAAAGAGAAAAGCCAGAGGCAAAGGTTTTGGCCCTGCTGGCTGCTGACTGTGGGGTCTGAGCACCTGAAGCCATGAGGACATCAGGCTGCGGGTGCCCCAAGCCACGGGGACGCCAAGCCCTGGGGGAGCCCTACTGGCAATAGGGACAACCTGAAGCTCTTTTCCAGCCCTGTGGCATTTGCAGGTTTGATGAGAGCCGGCACAGAAGCAGCAGCTTGCAAGCTTTCCCCAGGGCTGGCTGTGATGCTGTCACCGCAGCCCCAGGGCTCAGGTTGTTTTGCTTTTCCACATGAGCTTTGCTCTCATGTTTTGAAGCTGACACGCTGACGTGGACCTGGAGCCATGGGATGGATCCTAACTCAGCCTTTCCCATCTCCTCTGGAGGAATTTGGCAGAGGAAATTAACACATCCCAAAGCCCAAGTGTGGCTTGGTTGCATCACACCAAGAGCTGCAGGACTGGCTAAACCCCCAAAATCTGTGCTGGGAATGAGTGTAGTTATAGGGGTGGATGAGGGAAGGGGCTGAGGATGCACTGTGGTGTAAAGCTGCTCTCCCAGCCTTTCCCCTCTGGACCGGTTCATTTCCAGCTCCCTGCTGGAGTTTTCAATGCTGCCTCTGACAGGTTTGCAAAATGCCCAACGTATCAAGCAGGCCCAGGTGGGAGGGGAAACAAATGGCAAAAACAAAGCAGACAGGAGGACTCGTTCAACGCTGCTGGCCAACGTTTTAATATCAGTTCAGACAGGCTTCAATCGATACGGCAATTTGGGGCTGCTGGCTGAGCTCTGAGAGTTGTGTTACGGCTCTGGGTGTTGGGTACAGATTGGGGGGAGTCCTTGCTGGGTGCCACAGGGGGATCAGACTCTGAGTTCTGGGTTTCTTGAAAGGCGGCGGCTCTGACCCACATGGAAGCATGATGAGGACGTGGGGCTGCATCCACCATCACAGCTGGATCTGCCCCCCAGCATGGGCAGTGTCTGGGGATTGCACTGGACACGCCACAAAGAGCATCAGCCTGGCTCCATCGCCATGGCAATGTAGATAATGGAGCCTGCTGGCAGGAGGGGAGGGCTGGGAGCCCTGGGCTGTGCTCACCCCATGGATGTGCTGCGGCCACGTTCAATAACAGCCCTCTCAGCCCCTGCCTGAGTGCTTGGGGCTGCCCAGAGCTGGTCTTGGAGCAGAGGCAGCCACAGTGCTACATCTCACCGTGCTGAAGCTCCTTGCTCCAGGACAAAGCCAGAGGTAGCGCAGGGCAACACGTAAATATACAGAAACACGTCTATTCAAACCCTCAAATCTCACTGCTGCCAGGTTATAATTAATTCCTATTTGCAGCTCAGTCCAATTTCCTTCACGCAGCCTCCCAATTCAATCCAATTGCTGTATGAGATTTCTGTAATCACTAATCTTATCATGTCCATCAGCGTGAAGTGAGAACGCTGCAATTAGCAGCACTGGGAGCAGGGCCGTGTGGAGCAGCAGGTGATGGGCTGCTCCATGAGTATTTACTTCACCTGTGCCAGGGAAAAGATGGTGCTTGGCCAGGGCTGTGCTGGGGCTGTCCCTTTTGCTATTTCCACCTTGGCTCTGGCTGCAGGAGCTCGTGCAGCAGTGAAATGATGAAATGATGCTGGGCTGGGAAACAGGCTCAGCTCCCCAGCATCAGGGCTGCTCCTGCCTCACTCCTCCCCATAGCTGAGCCTTCCCCTGCCAGCTCCCAAAGGGGAACCTGAGGTTCAGCGGAGATGCAGCAATGCAAGGAAGTGCTGAGATGTGTCCCACCTAACCCAGGTCTCTCCATACCCCCTTCTATCCCAGAACTCCCCCCACCCCCCATAGCCAGGAGCCATCAGGGCTGCCCTCTAGAAATGCAACGCCTGGATGCCGACGCTGAGCCAAGAAACGTGACGTTGACGCCGGCGAAGTGTCCTTAAACAGAACCATCTGCGCCACTCTTTGTCACAACAGTAGGAGTTATAGATGAAGTGTCAGCCTGCGTGCTGGATTTCCTGGCTCTGCTCACCACCGCTCCCTTTCACAGCCCAACTCGAGCTCTGCTCGCTCCGTTCCCGAGCAGACGGAGGCTCAGTCTTCAGGGGCAGCAGGAAGCTGCTCGCATCCCGCCTGCCCTCCCACGGAGTGCTGCCAGCCTTTTGCCAGTTGTGCACAGAGAGAAAGGCTGCTCGTGCTGCTGTGGCACCCCAGGAGGGCTGAGCTGGGCTAAGATAGGAGCACGCCCACTCTGCTGTGAGCGTGGGGACACCCAGCTCCCCGTCCCCTCTGAGTTGGCCCCATCTCCAGGGTGCAGTTCGCGGGGGATCCCGCTCTGCACAGTGCCTGTTTTGTGGACAATCTGTTCTCCTCCCACCAATGCTGGCTGCCTGCCTGCTGCTTGCTCCCGGCAGAGGCGTCGTGCGATGGGATCAGAGCTGCTCCTGCAGGTGCCTTGAAGCCATGGGGTCCCTTTCTGAGCCTGTCTGGATTTGGGGAGCAGCCACTTGCTTTGGCACTGGGGCAGGAGATGCCCGTCGAGGTTGGTGGGGCTCACACAGGTCTGATTTTAGGGCATGTTCAGGAGCAAACTAGGGTGCTTCAGAGTGGCTCACTGAGGCTTCTGGGGTTACCTACAAAGCAGCTCAGGTGCCCCAGGTTGCCCTGGAGGATCCAAGAGGATGACAGGCTGACACTTCATGTATAACTCCTACTGTTGTGACAAAGAGTGGCACAGGCGGTTCTGTTTAAGAACACTTTACCAGCATCAACATCACATTTCTTGGCTCACTTGTTGGCATCCAGATGCTGAGTTTCCAGAGGGCAGCCCTGCTGACCCCTGGCTGTCTGCTGGGGGGAGAGGGGGGGAGTATTCCTGGAATAGAGGGGGTAGCAGGAGTACTGGGTATGGGGGACACATCTCAGCGCTTCCTTGCATTGCTGCATCTCTGCCGAGCCTCAGGTTCCTCTCTGAGAGCTGGTGGGGAAGGCTCAGCTGGGGTGAGAAGCGAGGCAGCAGCAGACTTGATGCTGGGGAGCTGAGCCCATTTCCCAGGCCATCAGCATTTCACTGCTGCACGAGGTCGCGCAGCCAGAGCTCAGCGGGAAGGTTCTAAGGCACATCGAGGAGCTCCGGAAACGCTCCGTGCTACCGCCGTGCAGCGGGTGCGCGCATTGCTGCCTTTACCTTTACAACAGGGCAGGGTTACGCGCACGGGGCGCGCGGCTCTCGCTACGTCCGTACGGGACCGAGGAGCCGGACAGCGCCACCTGCTGGCAGCATCGGAGCGCTGCAGGCGTCGGCGCCTCCCGCTCGTACGCATGCGCAACGCCACGTGGAGCGCCCGTCCCCGTGGGTAGCGGCAGAACGGAGAGGTTCCGCCGTGGGCAACGGGAATGAGGACGGCGTGGAGCGGAGAGTCAATCAGATACAGAGCAGAACGCGAAATGGCCGCCGGGAGAGCCATAGCGGTACGTTCTCGGGGCTCGGCGGGTAAAGGGGAGGTGAAGGATTGGGAAATCAATGGGGAAAAGCATTGGGAATTGCAAGGCGGTAAGAGAGCTGCTCAGCTTGGCAGGGGATGGGGAAGTGGGGATGGTTTGGGGGGCACACTGCCTCTTTGCCCTATGTAGCATTGTAGTAGCGTGCATTTGTACTTCACAGGATGGATTGGCTGCAGGTGGTTCTGGTAGAGGGACTGGTGAGGTTGGGGGGCTGTCAGCATTTGGCATCACAGCACTGTGAATGTGGAAGCAAAGAGCTATAGGACAGCTGGGGGGAGGGTATCGGGGGGAAGCCAGGCTGGAAGGCACAGCAGAGCAGTTGCTGCTTCTACAAACAGCTCACAAGAAAGAAGGAATGCCTATGGGGTAAGGTGTGCCAAATTGAGGTGACAGAGGGGGGACAGGAGGGGGATGCTCACCAACTCATCACCACAGCATCATCCTGAGCAGAAGCACAGAATGAGGAGTCCAGCCACGGTTGCCTAGGGGGAAATGGGCGATACGAGGCCATGAGAGTGCCTGCATTTTAATTCACACCGAGTTGCTCTGAGCATTTGATAGAATACACAGCATAGCACATAGGGTACCTCAGAGCCAGTGGGGTGCACCAAGATGCCTCTAGGGCACACTGGGCAGCCTCTACAGCACCCAAAGAATGCTGAGATAGGCTGGGGGTACACGAGGATGCCCTAAAGCCAGCCTTCAGAGCTCCCAAATCTCTCCTGAAGATGGGAGCAAACCAATGCCACCCACAAGAGGTGCCAGACACCGTGCCCAGCCATAGAGGTCCCCCAAACCCCACAAGCTCCACACTGATGGTGTTTCTGCAGAGGTTGAGGGGATGCAGGGTTCTGAGAAAATGTTATTTTTAAGTATACCCCAAGGTTGGATGAGCTCAGGGCTCCCAGCTAAGCTCAGCCTCATTCTATAATGAATAACTCAGCATCCAGCAACCCCAGAGCAGGATTTATGGCACAGTGCCTTCCTTAGAGCTCACATCCACCCTGCTGGGACAGGGCAGCCTGGTGCCAGGATAAGTGGGGGATCTGTTCCAGGAGGAGCTGCTGGAGCCTGGGCACACAGGAATTAAAGCTGAGCAGGAGAAATCAGAAGAGGATAGGCCTGTAATTGTAAAGTGCCATTTATTATTATTTCTCCATGATGAAAATATTTAGGTTTTTAAAAAGAAACAAAACGTTTAATATGATTTTCCCTTCCAAAACCCAACACCAAAGTGAAACAAGCCACAAACAACCCTAACGCTTCATGAATTGTCCATCTCCCCACTTTGCACCTAAGGGGCAAAAAACAACAGCAACTGCCTGGTGCATTTTGGTGCCAGCCTCCTGCCCCAGCAATGGGGAAGGGGCTGTGATGGGGGTTAACAAGGCAACACACTTCCTGAAGAGCAAATCCCAGGCCTGCCCCACCAGAGAAGCATCCAGTTTGGCAAACTGCAAAGGGAAAACCAAATAAATCCATAAGCAAGGAGGCTCACCCCCCTCAGGAGGAGATGGGGCTTTAAGGCATAGTCAGCCCTGAGGGGATGGAGGTGAATGCATGGTGATGGCTCAGCCCTGACGTCAAGAGAGCCCTCACCCTTCGTGAGGCAGGAGGGCATGCAGCAACCCAGGCATGGGGTAAAGAGTGTGGAAAGCAGCCTTTGGAGAACTATGAACAGCATGAGAGGACTGAACCCCCCTCATCCCCTAAGCAAGGTCCAGGCCTGGCCCAGCCTCTCCATGGGGGCAACTGGCACCAAACCCACACTGCCAGACCCCAGGCCTTGGCTTGGGAAGGTGGGGGGGACAGCTGGAGGCCAGAGGGGCTTCTAGGACTGCTCTGCCTGAGGCACAGCAAACCCAGGGATGGATCCTGCCCAAGGCACAGCAAACTGCTGCCTGCAGTGCAAGGGGATGAATAGGGTGGATGTGGAGCACCTGCTTTCTGTGCACCCAGATCTGCCTGCAGGAGGGTCAGCAGAGCCCACCAGCTGCCCTGCACACCTTTCCCATCTGATCCAGGAGCTCAGCCTGCACTCAGCAGATCAAGACGATTCATCAGAATGGGCTGTAAAGCAACCCAATGAAACAACAGCAGAAGTAAAGCCACATGTGCCTCCCTCTACCCACAGGCCAGCTGGTTCAGCACACAGCTCAGCTCCAAGCAATGCCACAGCTTTGTGGCACAGCACCTGCCGTGGTTGGAACATCCTCTGAGGTTTCTCCCCTTCTGGCAGCACTAAATTCTTCACTCCATGCTCCTGGTCCAGCTGAGGAGCCCAGAAGCAGGCAAAGCCCCGTTCCCACAGCCATATGCCCATCCCTTGCCACCATCTCACACACACATACACCAGTGCACACACTTTTTTTTTTTAAACCCAAGTGAACATGTTTCCAAAAAAAAAAAAAAAACCAAAAAGAAAAAAAAATTAACATAAGCAGCACATTTCCCAATTGTCAAGAGCTCCAAGCTGGAGCAGAGACCCAGGACGCCCCCAGAACAACAGAAACCAAGCCCACATTTGCTTGGGGTGAGGGGCAGCTGATTAACATTTCCAAGTGATGGTGCTCTGCCGGCGGGATGCGAGGTGAGAAGGGGCTGGGGAGAAGGAAGAAGGGCAGTTCTGTTGTGTACTGAAGGACAGGGAATGGTGACAGAGGCAGATGTACTGACGCCAGGCGGTCGGCTCGGCCATCACACAGCAGCACGGGTGGGTGTACTGGGCTGGTTTAACCTCAATGTTTTGCAGAGCCAGCCGGCAAAATCCACCTCCTCCACTTCAGAACGCTTGATGAAGGTGTGATTCTGCAAGGGAAGCGAAGCTAAGTTAGGAATGTGGCCAGGTGCATCCTGCAGTGGGGGTTTTCACCTCCAGCAGAACACCACAATCTCTGGCCCCTTCTCAGAGCTTTGGGGGGGCTTACACTGTTGGTTGGACTCCAGTAAGACCAATGGATCCAAGGCCACAGCTTGGGCTGCTTTCAGGCCCAGACAGTGGATCTGGAGAGTAGTTCCTAAATGTTTGCTACTTACAGCCCTGTGGCTGGGTTTTAAAGTCAGTGCATCTTGTGCCTGGCCATGAAACTCTCAGGACACGCAGAAGAGCTGAGGTGCAAAGCCTGTGTGCTGCATCCCCAGAGCAAACCTAAATGCTATGGAGACAGGACAAGCCTGGTGTAGGTTCAGAGCTACAGATCTTGAGCTCAGCCTGGTACCAGTTTGCTCCCAGAGAGCAAACCTTAATTCCCCAGGGTGACCACAAAACAAGGACAAGGAGCAGGGACATAAGGATGTGGGCTGCTGCTTTTGCAAGGGGCAGCAGGGGTGAGCCAGCTGTGGCTCAGCACTAGGCTGAGGAAGAAAAGCGAGGTTCACAGGGATAAACTGAGCTCTTCTACTCTGCTCAAGAGGCAAAGGTTGGTCCCAGGCACCTTCGCAGACACGGAGAGGTGCTGGAGCCATCAGGTTCCCATCCTGAGCTCTGCTGGGGAGGGGCATCAAGGCTCTCAGGTTAGATGACATCACTGCCTTTGAGATAAAGGCAAGTGAGTCAATTCATATCCCAGGCTGCACTTGGTTCTCAGGCTCAGCCAGGGGAGTTTCCAGCCTTTAGAGCAAGGGTGGCTGGAAGGGATGGGATGAGGCAGCAGCTTGTGGATCTGGTGCCACCCAGTGTAGAAAGAAGACTGCTCTTCCCATTTACCATCAGCATCTTCAAATCTGCCCGTTCCGCTGGATTCTTAATTAAGCTGAAATGAGAAGAACAAGAGAGCAAAGGCAGCAATGAGACACTTCTTGTAAGAAGCTGCTTATCTGTCTGCAGGGGTGTCCAGCTTCACTAAAAAAAACGTTGCCTCCTGTCTGCCTTCTCCAGACCAGCAGTATGGACAATGCTCAGATAGAGGTGTCTGCAGCTCCAGCACTCTGGACTCTTGGCAGAGCTGCAAGATCCACCATTTCTGGATTGCATGGATAAAATGTGTAACCATTTGCAGAGATTAATGGTTTTGTAACATCTCTGTTTTAGTGGGGGCAGCAGCAGCAGCATCCCCACCGTGTCCCCAGGATCAGCAGGTCTTGAAGTCAGTGGTGTTTGCAGGGTGCCTGCAAGGTTGTGGGACAAGCTGCAGAGAATAACTGCAAATAAACCACTTTTATTCCAGCCCTTCCCAAGGCAGAAGTTCCCAGCACAGTGCAGGACCTTGCTGCAGCCAAGCCAGAGCAGGGAGATTGCCAACAGTGAACAGACAACCCTCATGCTGAACATTCTGAGTGGGAAGGCAGCCTGCTGAGCTGCCAGTGACCGCAAACAGGCCTCCACATTCAGTCACAAACAGAAATCCTTACCATTTATTTACAAACTCCTGGAAATCTTGCGTGAAAACTCCATTTGGCAACTTGGGAGGTGGCTGCAGAGAGAGGAAAAAGGATTAATGGGTCAAAACGTAAATGCCTTAGAGCACAGCTTTCAGTTGCTTCCTTCCCATTCTATCAGTGGCCAAGAGGACTTTGGAGCAGTTTGAGGGGCTCTATTGATAAGCCCCTGTCAAGCAAAGGTTTTTGAGCCTCCTTTGACCTTTCAAAGTGGACACAACACCAACCCAGGGCAGCAGAGCCTACCGTAGTGCAATACTCACCTCATTAACTATATAGTCCAGCAGTTCAAAAATGGCCATTGCAGGTCGGTTGTCCATTCCATGGCCTGTGTGGTTAAGATGAAAGAAATACCGGTGAGAAGCTGTTCAGACACCAAAGGGCTTCATTTCACACAAAGAAAACCCACACTGGGACTTTGGTTGGGAGAAGCAGAGGGCACCAACTTGGGAATTAACCCACTGTTAAAAACAAAATCCCCCAAACCACCTCCTAAGCTCCCCATACAAGACCAGAACCCCGCAGGCTCTCAGGATTAGAAACCTCCACAGCAGAGCTGGATTCTCCTACAGCACAGACATGGCTCTGTCTGCAGGAAAGAGTGAGATGAGAACCCTCCCTCCCCACAACCTCATTCACAGCAGCTTTTGCTGACCCAGCCACACCAACAGAACCCATCCCCTTGCCCCCATGCCTGCGTGTTGCATCTAATGCAGCATGGCAGC